GGGCGCGGGTGAGGATTTGGGCGGGGGCCGCGGTGGCCCAGAGGTGTCAGGCGCTGAAGCTGCAGGCCAGGGCTTCGGCAGTTCGAGACGCCCGTGCTCCCCTTCTCAGCTGCGGAGTCCTGTGAGCAAAACTCCTACTTGGCGAACTGCTGGCATTAAAAGTCGTGAGCAGGCGATTGGGCTACGGCATGGACTGGTTTGCTCTGGAGCCCTCCTTCCTTCCTGGGCCAAGGCAAAAAGTGTGTGAGCCGGAGGCTAAGAAACTGTGGGCTGGCCCACACTCACTCAGCTGAGGGGGAACACGGGTCACAGCCAATGCCCCCCTCTCAGCGGTGGAGTCCTGGGAGCAAGAATTCTACCTTGTGAGCTCCTGGCATTAAAAGCTGTGAGCCAGCCATTCGGCTGCTGCATAAATTCGTTTGCTCTGGAGCCCTCCTTCTGGAGCTAAGACAAAAATCTGTGTGAGCTGGAGGCTAAAGAACTGAGCTGGCTCACACTAACTTAGCTTAGAGGGAACACTGGTTTCAGGCAATGCTTCTCCTCTAAGCTGTGGAGTATTGTGAGAAAAAATCCTACTTTGTGAGCTACATGGTATTAAAAGTTGTGAGTGAGCGATTTGGCCGCTGCATAAATTCGTTTGCTCTGGAGCCCTCCTTCTGGAGCTAAGACAAAAATGGGTGAGCTGGAGGCTAAAGAACTGTTAGCCAGCTCACACTAACTCAGCTTAGAGGGAACACTGGTCTCAGGCAATGCTCCCGGTCTCCCGGGAGCATTGCTCTCTCTAAGCTGTGGAGTGTCGTGAGCAAAAATTCCACGTTGTGAACTACTGGTGTTAAAGTTGTGAGCGAGCCATTTGGCTGCTGCAGAAATCAGTTTGCTCTGGAGCCGTCCTTCCTGAGCTAAGACAAAAATCTGTGAGCTGGAGGCTAAGAAACTGTGAGCTGGCTCACACGAACTCATCTTAGAGGGAACATTGTTCGAGACCCGAGTGCCATGTGATGGAGTGAGCTCCCGTCTCTGGCCCCAGCTCCTGCCAACCTAGCAGTTTGAAAGCAAGAAATGGCAGGTAGGTAAATAGGCACTGCTTTGGTGGGAAGGTAACAGTGTTCCTTGCGCCTCGTTATTTAGTCATGCCAGCCACGTGACCATGGAAAAAGTCTTTGGACAATGCTGGCTCTTCGGCTTGGAAACAGAGATGAGCACCGCCCCCTAGAGTTGGCTTCCAGTAGCTTTTTGAGCAACGGAAACATTTGCTTTAGGTGAGGATTTGACCCTGCTGAGTTCCAAATCTGCCCTTTTCTCCTGGGGAACTCTGTGTCCTGGTGATCTGTTGCGATGCTTGGGAGTTTCCAGCCCTCACCTGGAGGTTGGTAACCCCGGCGGGTCCTGGCCCTGGGGTCCCCTTGGCCCTGAGATTTCCCTGAGCATCCTGGACAGGTCCCGGCAGAGGCTCTGGCTGGGCCCCAGGGTGGCTTCGGAGGCAGCAACAGAAGGCCTTTTTGGGCCCTGGGCTAAGTGGGAGCGTCCGGGACTCTGCTTGGCCCCCTCTGGGCTGGCAACTAGTATCAGTGCTGGATTCGAGTCCAGCAGCACCTTTCCCGGGTGTGAGTGTTCAAGCGTCAGAGCTTCCTTTGTCAGATCTGTGCTGAAATATTCCAGAGCAGTTTTTCTCTGGTGCTCTGCAGTGCCTCCTCAGCCCCTCTTGTCCATGTTGAGGAGGGTACCTTATCTATAAAGCAACGGTCCTCATGAGAGCCCATCTTTCCCCAGCACCTTGTTCAGTCATCATTTAATTTACTGCACATTTTCTTAAACAGTCTGTGTCGCTCTGGTGGTTCTGAGGTGCCCTGGAGGTCCGTTGTGAGGCGGAAAGGTGGCATGGAGAGACCTCTTTGTTTTTTGGCAGAAGAGGGATCCCTCTTTAACGAAGGCCCGGCATCCTTGGGGCTGGGTCCTATTGATCTTCGTCTTCTGACCAGTTAACAGGGATGCTCCTAATCGGTATTCCAGTCGATGAATGATTTAAGTATTCTTAGTCCTGAATGACACTCTCCTGGGCTTCGAAGGGTGTTGCGCTGCTCAGGGCTTGGCGCCCTTCTTCGTTGTACCAGAAGTGGCATAACTCCTGCAAACCAAACTGACAAAGGGACAGGTCATTTTCTCCAGGCCAACCAGCAACTTCACTCCTCTGCAGAGCCTGTAGCAGTGCACGCCCGAGAAAATGGATGAAATCTTGTGCTTGTTTGTATCATGGCAGCAAAGCAGACGTGTATGTTTGTCACATGAGATGATATGCATCAGTGCACTTGCACAGAAGTGACGTCATAAATTCGGTGTGTGTGTGAAGTAGGTAAAGCTTCCCCCTGCCATCTTCTTGCTGATTGTGTGGCAGCAGGAGAGAAACTGGAGGTCGTGCCCCCCCCACACACAATAGAACCAGTTTCTAGTAAAAGAATCTGTTTGGTGCACTTGGATAGGTTTTGGAAGCTAGAGACAGTTGGAGTTGAGACGTGGGCTCCCCGGAGGGAGTGTGCCAGGGCTTTGTGTGTCTGTAGGGCAGCGTTCAGTCAGTGAGAGTCGCTTACTAGGTCCACATCCTCCATGTTCTGCTATGTGCAGCCTCTTTGTCCCCAAGCCGGCACTGCCGTGGTCCTTCCCAGTGAGAGCTGACAACACATTCTTCATGGTGACTCACTTCAGCGTGTCACACGTGGAAGGTGGAAAGTGAAGCTGCAGTTGGTGTTGACAGCATTAGTCACTGGCTGTGAGTCTGGGGGGGGGGGCTGTTATGCGGCCGATAAACTTGGGAGGGGCAGATGTCGTGGTTTTTCTCAACTCAGTATGATCTTAATAGGAGGTCTTTCGTAGGTGTGCTTATGCACTTTGTTCTCCAGGGGACTTCTGTGTTGCCTCTCCAGCATCCTGCTGCTTGTTCTTCTGAGGACTGTTTGGGGTCATTTGTAAAGTGCCATGTGATATGTGTTGGATGCTGTAGGTCTCCCCCCCCCCCCAACCCACAAACAGCGCCGATCTTAGTCTGCTGCAGGGGAAGATCTAATAATAGCCCATGTACAATAATGTCCTTCCTGCTTTGGTGTGTTTTGCACGGAGAGGTCTCCCATTTTCCCTCTGAGAGGCTAGCAGTTACGTAACCGGATAGCTTGGTAGCATTTCCCATAGCTGTTGCAACCCCACTTCCCGACAGCTCATTTGCATGGTTTCTCGTGCACTCCGTGAGGCCTGTTTCTGTGGCCGCTTGTAGTTTTTGCATGCTGTGCCCACCGGGTGTGGCTCAGAGGGAAACTAGGTTCGCACGGGGAGGAGCGGGAAAGGGCAGTCAATAAAGCAGCTGTCCGTCCGAGCCGCCTGGCCTGGGAGCGGATCCCCCATGAGGATGCCTCTGCCGTGGCGGATTGCAGGTGAAATCCGCCCCCCTCCCCCTGTCATGCCTGGCAGAATTCTTAGAGCAGGCGACATTCCGTGGCCGGCAAGGATTCCATCAGCCTCCGCAGGCTTCCTGTCTGCGAGGTAACAAGCGTGGGCATCCTTCCCTGCCGGAGTGCGGTGAACGGCCACCCACAAGGGCCTTCTCTGTGTTGGGGCCCCAGCTCTGGCCGCCCCATCGGTCTCGCTCTCTTGAATGCCCAGGGGAATCAGTCCCTTCCCCACAGCTTTTCACTGGCTCAACGGAGGAGCCCCCCCCCTCCCCCCCCCCCCGCAAGGGCTCAGAAGCTTAGGAACCCGATTCAGGCCCCGCACCAAGGAACAGATGTTCAGGTGGTACAGTCTTCTCCCCAACAGTCAAGTATATTCTTCCTTGCTAGCCTTGTATACTTCCTGTCCAATGTTTCCTCTAAGTTGAGTGAGTGTGAACTAGCTGTCAAGCTTTTTCGCCTCTGGCTCACACTTTTTGTCTCGGCTCAGGAAGGATGGGGCTCCAGAGCAAACTAATTTATGCAGTGGCCAAATCGCTTGCTCACAACTTTAAAGCCAGGAGCTCACCAAGCAGAATTTTTACTCACAAGACCCCACAGTTTAGAGGGAGCCTTGCTCCTGTCCTGAAATCCCTGCAAGAGAGGGTGTAGCGTTTGGACTTTTCCCATCACACTCAGGTGTGAAAGTTTTCTCAGTTAAAGGGGCGAATGGGGAGAAATCAAACCCTCCCTGCCTTTGAGAGCTTAGCTTGTTGTGTGTGGGGGGGTTATCAACATCTGCCATGTGGTATTGCTTTTTGTGTGCCTTTTAATCATATTCAAGAGTACGGCTTGTCCCCTAGAGGGAGCGCTTGCCTACCCATTTGTCTTACTGCAGTTTGCCACTGTGATTCTAGGTGCTTTGCCCTCAGAACTTGCACAGAAGAGATAAGAACATAAGAGAGGCCCATGTTGGATCAGGCCAAGGGCCCCTCCAGTCCAACACTCCGTGTCACACAGTGGCCAAAGATAACAGGTGCCATCAGGGAGTCCACCAGCGGGGCCAGGACACTAGGAGCCCTCCCACTGTTGCCTCCCCCCCAAGCACCAAGAAGACAGAGTATCACTGGCCCCAGACCGGGAGTTCCTATAAGTACATAAGAGAAGCCCGTGTTTGATCAGGCCAAGAGCCCCTCCAGTCCAACACTCTGTGTCACACAGAGGCCAAAGATAACAGGTGCCATCAGGGAGTCCACCAGCAGGGCCAGGACACTAGGAGCCCTCCCACTGTTGCCTCCCCCCAAGAAGCACCAGGAATACAGAGCATCCCTTGCCCCAGACCAAGAGTTCCTATAAGAACATAAGAGAAGCCAATGTTGGCTCAGGCCAATGGCCCCTCCAGTCCAACGCTCTGTCTGTCACACAGTGGCCAGAAATACCAGGTGCCATCAGGAGGTCCAGCAGTGGGGCCAGGACACTAGAGGCCCTCCCACTGTTGGCCCCACCCCCCCCAGGCACCAAGAATACAGAACATCACTTGCCCCAGACATAAGAACATAAGAGAAGCCAATGGTGGATCAGGCCAGTGGCCCATCCAGCCCAACACACCTGTGTCACACAGTGGCCAGAAATACCAGGTGCCATCAGGAGGTCCGGCAGTGGGGCCAGGGCGCTAGAAGCCTTCCCTCTGGTAACTCTACCATGGGTCTTTTCCTTGGTCCCAGGGCAGAGATCTGAAGGCCTGGAAAAACTGGACATCATCTCTGATGCTTGTCTCAGAAAGGGGGGCAGGTTCTCTTCAGCTTCCCTATGCCACACGTGTTACGTGGGAACAGGGTGTTTGGTCGCTGGCACTGGATTCGTGCTTACTCAATAAATGAAACTTTTTCCCGGAATTCAGGGGGCCTTTATGGACCCAACACATTTGAATGAGTGTAATTTTGATGTAAAGGGCTTGTTTTTCAGCTGAAGGGCTTCTTCTCCCCAAATGCCTCACCTGGAATAACAAGCGTTTGTCATGGATCTGATGCATAATTCTTGCTTGGAATGGTGGATTGTTAAAGCAATACTATAGTGATCGTTAAAAGGCCATGTGCTTGGGTCCCTGTGTTAGTTGGAACCCCCCCCCCCCAATCCAAGGAGAGCTGCAGGGAGGGCAGCGTGGGGGTGGGGTTGGAGAAGGCAGGAGTGGGTATAGACCAGTGCTCCCTCTAAGCTGTGGAGTCTTGTGAGCAAAAATTCTACTCTGTGAGCTGCTGGCATGAAAGTTGTGAGCGAGCCATTTGGCTACTGCATCAATTACTTTGCTCTGGAGCCGTCCTTCCTGAGCTAAGACAAAAATGTGTGAGCCGGAGGCTAAAACACTGTGAGCTAGCTCACACTCACTCAGCTTAGAGGGACCACTGGTCTAGAGACAGGCTCACCTTCCAGCCCCACCCCTGTCCCTTCGGAGTCCCTTACCAAATCTACAGAACTCAAGCTGCCACTGCACCTCCAAGCTCACCAGCAGCTCAACTTCTGTTTCAGGAAGGCACACGGATTGTGCGGTTGAAGATCATAGCTGGAATAGACCTGGCCAAGAAGGATATCTTGGGAACGAGGTAAGCACACATTTTCTGTAAAAAGGAGGGCAGAAGCCATGCCATGTTCTCTCTAAAAATCCATGTAACGTGGAGGAGGAGGAGATTGGATTTATACCCCGCCCTTTACTTGGAGTCTCAGAGCTGCTTACAGACTCCTTTCCCTTCCCCTCCCCACAACAGACACCCGGTGAGGTAGGTGGGGTTGAGAGAGCTCTGACAGGAAGTGCCCTTTTCAAGAACAGCTCTCACAGAACTATGGCTTGCCCAAGGTCATCCAGCAGGTGCAAGTGGAGGAGTGGGGAATCAAACCTGGTTCTCCCACATTAGAGTCTGCACACTTAACCACTACACGTGCAATGCTGGTGTGCAACGCTACATGAGCAATGCTGGTGTGAAGTGTAAGGATGTAGGTCACTGGTCCAGACTGGAAAAATCGGCTGAATGCCAGCAGGTAGTGTCCAAGCTGGTGGGGCCGGGGTCTTTCGTGCCCTTGCCTGCATGCCAGACAGAGTGGGTCTGCTGATGGACACGGGGTGTGACCTGTCTCCAGCTGCACCCTCAGTGCACTGGGATCCAGAAGCTGCTGTTTTGCTTTCCCCCAGAAGGCCGGAGTGCAGCCTTCTCCCCGCCACAGCAGTGGAGGTGCCTGGGAGCCAATTCAGGGAGGAGGGTGTTGGTCCACACGATGCACGGCTGGCTCATGCCAGCTGCGTGCCCGGTGAGGAGCTACCCCTCGGGGAGGGCTGTTGGTCATTATCTCCTCTTCGGGGACTTCCAAGAGGCATCTGGTTGCCCACTGCTGGGAGCAGGGCGCTTGAAGGCATGCCACCTTCTCTGGCTCTAAACGGAACAAAAGTGGCTGTGATCAAGTTACTAATATATTTTCCAATACTATATCAGTCTTCCTTGCTTAATTTAATCATGCTTAATACTCACACTTGTAATCATACAGATATTGTAAAGGTAAAGGTTTCCCTTGCTCGAAAGCCAGTCGAATCCGACTCTTGGGATGTGGTGCTCATCTCCGTTTCCAAGCCGAAGAGCCAGCGCTGTACAAAGACATTTCCGTGGTCACATGGCAGGCATGACTAAATGCCGAGGCGCACTGAACGCTGAAGTGCTTTCAGAACTGCTATATGATATAATCATATACAAATAATCACATACAAATTTTGAAATATGAACATCAGACCACTCCTTCCAATGATACTCCAAGACAGGGACACCCGCATAAATCCTGGAAATAATCCTCAGGGGGGAAAAATCTCACAACTGTAAATTAAACTAAGTGAGGAAGTTTGATATAGCGTTGGAAAATGTATTAGTCAATTGATCACGGTCACTTCTGTCCCATTTACGGCCATTCGTTTCCGTGACCCTCCCTTTCCCATTTACTTTCTCTGGTTCGGCAGGTCTGCCCTTCGGTGGCCTCCTTGTGCCCACGTGGGAGGTTTAGTGGAATGGCTTCCCCTTGGAGCCTGCCTCCTTGCTTTGGGATGCGGAGAGCTGCTTTTAAAATCCAGGCTCCCAGGTGATGGCAAAGAGAAGGGCTTTGTCTTGGGTGCAGGGAGGAGGCAGAGCCGGAGCGGTTCTGCCCAGCAGCTTTGCCTGCTTAAGTTCTGCCTGTGAGGGCTGAGATCTACCTGCCCTATCAAGGCACAGAGAGAAAAGTAGAGAATCCCCACCCACCCAGCGTACCTGATGCTAAGTCACAAGAATCCCCACCCACCCACCCTGCGTACCTGATGCTAAGTCACACGGCTTCGCTGCTCCTCTTCAGCATGGCGACATCCGAGTCAAGTAGGGAGGTGGGCTGAATTTCTTGCCACCTCCTGGCAGTGAAGAAAGAAACTTGGGGTTCTGTCCGGCCTAAGGCTTGCTGCATTTGAGGCAGGAAACTCACCAGGCGGGCACTGAATAGCCCCTAGTGCCCGAGAGAGGCTGGTGAGCCAGCTCCAGTGCGTGTGTTTGTCCTCTCTTGCACAGCGATCCGTACGTGAAAGTGACTGTATACGATTCGGCTCACGGCGTCCTCACCACTGTTCAAACAAGGACTGTTAAGAAGGTGAGGCTTTTCCCGAGGCGAGTCAGTGACTTGCGCGCCAGGCGTGTGCGGCTGCTGGTTTGACCTGCAGAGAAACGGAGGAGCAAAGCAGAAGGGGAGCTCCCGGAGGCAGAGGGGCTTCCCCAGGGCAGCTGAGCCTCGCCCCCACCGGGGAGGCGCTTCGGGTGACGAACTGTCTTTGGCGCAAAGGGCTCATGCAGTGTTTGGCTGATGTCTTGTGGGAGAGTCTGAGATGGAGGCCGTAGGGACTGGGAGGGCTGGTCTCGCCCTGCGGGGCCTTTCTTTGGAGCGGTTCTGACGTTCTGCTGCTTCTGTTCTGAAGCACCGGTGGCCTCTGGAACCAGCAGCAGAATGCTGTGATCCTGGGCAGTCCAGTTAATGCAGCTCTCTGCTTTTGGAGTGCGGCCGACCGAGGCCTCTGCCGGAAGCCCCAGGACGCCGACGCCGACGCCCGTTGCGGTAGACCGTTCCAGCAAAACGGGCCAGTCGTTCGGTGAAAAAAGGCAGTTCGACATCCGGCATTCTAATTTGCTCTCTTTTGCTTTTAGACCTTGGATCCAAAGTGGAACGAAGAATTTTTCTTCAGGGTAAGTGACTTTATTGCGTGCTGACGTACCCTGGTGGTGAAGGGCTCCCATGTGCTCCTGTTGAGATCACTGCCTGTTCAAACCGTGCGGCATGTGAGAATGCTTCGCCCTCCGCGGCTAACCACTGGTTTACAATTGCTTCTCCTAGGTCAGTCCTCAGAGGCACAGGTTTCTCCTGGAAGTATTTGATGAGAACCGTTTGGTAGGTCTTTCTCTCTGTGTTTGTGCTGTGAAGAAAGCTTGCCCCTACCCCTTTGGCCTGGACCCGCTTGTTGGAGGTGTTGCCCTGGGGCATCGCTCCCCTGCCCGCTAGACCCTCGAGTGTCCCAGGGCATTCCCAGGGTCTGAAGCGGCCCCGGCTTCTCTCTCTCTCCTCCTCAGAGCCCCTGCAGAGCCCTGCCCGAGTCCGCCAGCCCGCTTGCAAAGAGGAAGAGGGGGCCCGCGTGGAGCAGTTGCTTGGCCGGCTGGCCGGGCCTGCTTGTGTGGGTCTGGTGTACTGGGCCAGGTGCTGAACAGTGAATCTTTGGGTGCAATGGGGGGCGGGGGCTTGCTGTCCTTCCGGTTCCAGGGGACAAGTCAGGCTGCCCGTCCCTGGGCTCAGGATTAGGGATTCTGGCTGAGGGAGGAAACGCCTTTCCTTTTAGGAGTATATAAAATACTGGCTTTAAAGCATCATACCTGAAAATGTGTAGAAGCAGGGGTCATTTCCTGCAAGAGCCGAGCTCCGGCAGTAAAGAGCCCAGGGGGCGGGCACATGCAACAAGCCCCACCCCCTGCTCCCAGCAGGCCTCAGTCAGAGCAAGAAGCAGCCAGGTAAGCTGCAGAGCCCCCCCCCGGCCCAAAACAGTCCAGTGGCACCTTTAAGACCAAGTTTTATTCA